TGGCCCCCGGCTTCCAGATCCCCCCCAACCTGGACTACAAGGTGAGGGGCAGCCCTGCTCAGGGACAGACAGAGGGCAAAGCCCACGTGAGCGCAGCTGCAGTGCAGCAGCCCGGGGGTGACGCCATCCTGGCCGGCTCCCGGGCGAGAACCTTGCAGCACACATGGGGCATCAGTAGTTGGGGAGAGCCCAGGAACCGAAACAAGACAGCCTCTGGGCTGTAGGGTGGGAATTCCCTTCCCGTAGCTGGGGAGCATGGGGGCAGCCCCCAAAGTGGCTCAGGAAACACATGGGGCTCGGACAGAGGACATGGCGTGGGCAGGGCATGCGGGTAAAACACACTTCCTGAACGGGGACGTGAGTGTCAGCCTGCACAGCTGTGCCCCGGCAGCTTGCTCACTCGTGGCCCTCCCCAGGGTTACCACGAGTACATTGATGAGAACCTGCCGCCCGAGAGCCCCTACCTGTACGGCCTGCACCCCAACGCCGAGATCGGCTTCCTGACGGTCACCTCGGAGAAGCTGTTCCGCACTGTCCTGGAGATGCAGCCCAAGGAGACTGACTCGGGAGCAGGCACAGGGGTGTCCCGAGAGGAAAAGGCAAGGTCCCTGATGCCCACTCCCACATCGGAGGAAGGCCAGGGCCTTGAATGTGGGCCAGCAGCATTAGCCCTGACCGCGGCAGCCTTGGGAGCCTGTGAGCAAGGCACGGTCTGGTGGCCCTGAGCTTCATGCATTAGCGCTCCAAGGGCTGCAAGCTGGTTACAGGTCCCCAGCCGTGGCCACAGCTGCCACCGAGCACGGTCACAACCCCACAACACGCAGTACACTGGGGACCACCCAGATGTCTGGCCTGAGCACCTCAGCCAAGCCTGTGGCCAAGGCTCCCTGCCCCTTCATCCAGCATGGCCACACCATGGTCCTGGGTTTCTTGCAACTCCCAAGCCCTCTGCGTCTTCCCTCCACCCTGGGACCTGGCCCGGGAACACCCTGGGCAGACTCTCTGACCCTGAAGCTGGTGGGGAGGGGTATCTGCCCTGGAAAACCTGCAGTGATGGGGCTGGCTGGGGGCTAACTTCCAGGTGAAAGCCGTGCTGGACGACATCCTCGAGAAGATCCCAGAGACATTCAACATGGCCGAGATCATGGCAAAGGCAGCTGAGAAGACCCCGTACGTGGTGGTCGCCTTCCAAGAATGTGAAAGAATGAACATCCTGACCAACGAGATGCGACGTTCACTGAAGGAGCTGAACCTGGGGCTGAAGGTAAAGTAAATGCCAGGTGTGGGTGTGTGTGCGTGTGTTCGTGCATGCACGTTGTAAGTGCACTGTACACATACATGAGCATGTGTACATGTAAGTGTGCCCATGAGCATGCATATGTGGTGTGTATATCTGTGTGTACGTGCATGTGCATGTGTGTGCACATGTATGTAACCGTGCATGTGTGCAAGTGTGCATGTGTACATATGTGTGTTGTTTGTGCACTGTGCATGTGTGTGAGTGTGCATGTATGCATATGTTGGGTTGTCAGTAAAGTCCTCACACGTTTTTGCTTAGAAAAACAAGATGGGGACCAGAAGGAGGCGAAGTGGTTAAGGCGCTGGACATTCCCACATGGTCGACCATGGTTCAAGTCCTGGACCTGGCGGCTTGCTTTCTCACTTTCTCTCTCCCTCTCTTTCTCTGTCTATCTCTCTGGTTAAATTGAAAAATGAGCAAATGAATAAAGTTAAATTTAAAAAAAGAAAAACGGGAAAGCATCGTGACTTTACTGGCAACCCAAGATCACACAGAGGCACGCACTCTCTTAGAGACAGAAAGTCAGGCGGGACGTGGCCTGGAGGCAGGCCGGACACTGCACTGACTGGCCAGCCTGCCCACAGAACAGGCCACAGAGCGCAGGCAGTGCCACGGGCCGTTCCCTTCACTGCTCCCGGTAGGCTCCAGTGGCACCACGTGGGCCAGTGTCCTGACCACTCCCTACACAGGCAGGGGCACCACACCCTCTTAGCTGGGGCAAAACGTGGTGCAGCCTGGGCCCCCTGCCCCGTCTATATGTCCCCAGGGGGAGCTGACCATCACGACGGACATGGAAGACCTCTCGACAGCTCTGTTCTACGACACGGTGCCCGACACGTGGGTGGCCAGGGCCTACCCCTCCATGATGGGCCTGGCGGCCTGGTATGCCGACCTGCTGCTTCGCATCCGGGTGAGTAGGCTTTCCCCACGGAGCTAGGACTGGGGGACCCGGGACCCAAACATCCAGGGCTCAGCAGGGCCACATATCCCAGCCTGCAGGACCTTGCCTCGAGGGGGACACTGGGGCCAAAGTGAGGGCAGCTCCCATCAACTCTCCCAGGCGAGCGGAGAGCTCACGTGTACCTTTGGGGGCTGGCCGCTTTCCACGGGACCAAGGTGGCCACAGTGAGCCTCTCCGGGCTCCTGAATTACCCTCAGATGTTATGCCATTCGCCTTGCCCCTGCCCGTTCCCGCATTTAAAATGGAGCTGGGGGCCAGTGGGCGGCGTAGTGTTACACACACTTCCACGCGGCCGACCACAGTTCAAGTCCCAGATCCAGCAGCTTCAAACTCAGGCCAGGCAAGTGTGTGTGTACCCAAAATCCCAAGAGGAGGAACCAGCAGTTAGCGTATTGGCTATGTCACTGGACTCCCACGTAGTCGACCGTGGTTCGTGTCCCGGACCCGTTGGCTTAAAACTCACGCCGGGCGCATGTGCGTGCGTGCCCAAGATCCCGAGAGGAGAATGGAGGAGAAGGGATTGCGGCATGACCATCCCCCCTGGGGGGGGATTTCTCGCTTTCTGTCTCTATGTCTCTCTCTGTCTGTCTGGCGAGCGCACGCGCCCTACAGTGAAAATCTCTCAAAAAAAAAAAAAAAAATCCCAAGAGGAGAAGGAAGACTGTGGTGTGGCCATCCCCCTAGGGGGGTGTTCTCTCACTTCCCTCTCTCTGTGTCTTTTATTTGTGAACACATGTGCCCTCTGGAAACAAACAACATGGAGGCAGGCAGCAAAGCTTGTCACAGGAAGCCACAGCTGCACTGATGCCATCTGAGAGGCTTGCTGGGGGGCCAGGGAAGGCTCTGCTGCACCCCTGCCCGGCCGCACCCCTACTCTGCCACATTCCCTCAGCTGTGCCCCTCAGCCATACCCCTGCCAGGCAGCACGGCCAAGGCCCACGCTCCCACGTCACCCTCTCCGCTCTCAGAGGCTCCTCTTCTCTTCCAGGAACTTGAGGCCTGGACGACAGACTTTGCCCTGCCCACCACAGTGTGGCTGGCTGGGTTCTTCAACCCGCAGTCCTTCCTCACTGCCATCATGCAGTCCATGGCCAGGAAAAACGAGTGGCCCCTGGACAAGATGTGTCTGTCTGTGGAAGTGACCAAGAAAAACCGGGAGGACATGACTGCTCCCCCCCGAGAGGGCGCCTACGTGTACGGGCTCTTCATGGAAGGTGAGGAGGGGCTCAAGGGCCTGGAGAGGCTCCCGTCCCACTCTCCAGTGGGCTGCGACTGTGACTAGGCCAGGGAAAGGGGAGAGGACCTTAGCCTCATGGATGCCAAGGGCTCATAGGGTTCTGAGGTGGTCAGGGAGACCAAGCCCCCCAGCCGACGGCCTGCCGTCTGCTGGACCAGAGACGGCAGCACTGGCACGAGAAGCATAGCCACCAGGACCCTGGAAGGGAACCCAGGGCCGGTGCCCACTCGGGGGCAAGCAGAAGGCTCTAGGGTATGGAAGCTGGCCCTCGGAGAGGCCAGGCCCCCTGCCGGTGTTCGTGCAGCCCCGCCCACGCCCAAGCCACTGCCCCGGCAGGGGCTGCGGGAAGATTTTGCTCACTTTCCCTGTCCTGCTACTAAGAGGATACCAGACAGGACAGAGAGGCAGGCCCCTCCTGACCCGCAGAGGGTGGCAGCTCCGTCACCCCAAGCCTGGCGCACTGTGGGTGGCAGAGCCCACAGCAAAGGCTCAGGTACCCCGATTCCCACAGCACAAAGACGACACAGCGGCAGCTGCTCTGTGTTTATTTTGGAATCAGAGACAGGAAGTACAAACTGTTCGTCGGGTGAGTAGAAACGGCAGTCTGGTTCGAGGCAGTAGCATTTCTATGTGCACACGTGTGCATGCATGCTTGTACTGCATGTGTGCACAGGAGAGCCGTTACACGGAGGGGAGGGGGCGCTGAGCCCC